ATTAAATTTCTCAATATTTTAAATTAGGTACAAACATCCTTAATTTTTCTGAACGACATCAAAATCCATCCAGGAATTTATCATCGAAGAAATTTTTTGAGCCAAGTGTCTGTTCGTTAGGTTTTAAATTCAATTTCGAATTTCATAAGATTTGAATTTAAAGTTAATAATTAAAAGGAACAAATTATGAGATTTACGACTTAAAATGATCGATCCGGGAGATATTTTTCCAGGATTAAAATGGGAGATTCTCCTGCATAATGGATGTTGTATGCCGTGTAAACTACACGCGAGTGTGCGTAGGCGAAATCCATTCCGACCTACTACAAATAACGGTGCAACGACCGGGGTTTGAAGCGGATCAAACGTCGTTCGATAAGATTTATAGTGCGGCCGACGCCGGCAGGTGCAGCTCGAGAACGGCAACGCAGGCTCTGGCATAAAATTTTAATCTCGCGACAACGAGGTCACTGGCCGTCCAGGTGTTTCGTCGACGCTGGAAAAAAAATAATAAAATGGCTTTAACCAGCGGAAAAATGTCGCGTCGTCCAGCGATCGATTTCGGATCACTCAATTTCGAGAAATCCTGAGATCTCAATGAATCGTTCATTTCTATTTTTTTTAATTAAAAATCAAATTTCTCTAAATAAAACATAAAATAACTTTTATTTCTTAAGGATAATTTATGTATAATATTTCTTACATGTAAGGATTGAATATATATATATATATATATATATAATATATATTATAATATATATATATTTCATGGCATATTATATCAATTTATAATTGCTCTTAAGTATTTGGCTAATAGTATGTTTAATAAAATCCAGGTTTAATAAAAAAAATGCTTAAAAATAATTTACAGTAATTTTCTCTCACAAATCATTTTTCTAAAAATTAAAACTTCGACAAATAATTTTCCTAAAAAATATTGAAAAATAAAATATCAAAAATATGAAATTAATAATTAATTGATTTCATATTTAGTTTTGATATTTTTACTTTTTTTATTTTTTTAGGAAAATTATTTGTCGAAGTTTTTAATTTTTAGAAAAATGATGTGTGAGGGAAAATTACCGTAAATTATTTTTAAGGACCTTTTTTTACTAAACATTTTGTTGCATACAAGGTGGAATATTTTTTTTAGTATTTGGCGTATTTTTTACCTTTGTAAGCTTTTTTAGAGAGTTCTATTTTTAAAATAATCGATCATCTTTGGCGATCTATCATTAATCTCTATAATTTACTCGGCTTTAGTTTTCATGAAAATCGCAACGTCTTTCGATATTGTGAGACATGCTCGATAAACAGTTAGATCAATTGGAAATCAATCTCTCATTTTTCTTTATAACATAATATATAATTATGTCGCAATAACATCTGACCGTGAACAAAAGTTGCTGCTGTATTTTATATTATATGAATATTTATATCCACACCTATAAAATTGATACCTGCGTCATTTTTTGATATAGAGCTCTGCGAGCTTTTCCCAAGGAATTTCCAATTTCTGAATATTTTATATTTGACAGGAATCGTGTCGCGCCTTTTGTATTTTGTACAGCGAACGAATAAATATAATAGGTTCGACGGGGAAAAGAAAAAGCGTGCCTGGCGCGAACATGCGGGTCGATCGAGGTATATTTTTCACGATGTTGCTAGATGATGTGGATATAGGATTGTGCGAACGTTGCAACAAGAAAATTGGTATTGACACAGGCTGGTGGGATGTCGTAAGTTTGGTTGAGAGACGAGAATAGTCTTGACACTTGGATATTTTTTTCGAAAAACCGCGCACGTGATGCAAAGCCTGTGCGTGTCGTATTATTTTATTGGCATTTTATTTTATTATTCGATTCATAAAAAAAACATGTCGATATTTTGTCGCAGAAACTGTATAAAGGGAAAATACGAAAAATTCGATTATTCCAAATATTCTATTTCCTTTTCTTCGCGCATACATAGAATGCACATTCTAAAATATTCTATTTTCTTTTTGTCCAATGCATATTTCACTCTCTAAAAGTGAATCAGTGTATTATCACTGATTCAGAAAAACAGTAAATAGTCACTGATTACAGCAGTTATAAGTACAGCACTGTAAATCAATGATATTTTATTGAAAGAATCAGTTAATAATTTTGATTGTTTCAATCAGTAATATTTCTCAATATCAGTAATATTTCTTTCGTTATTGTCAGTAATATTTAACTATTATTCATCTCTCTATCTATTTCATGTAAAATTAAAAATTTTATTTATATTTACTACATTTATTATATTAAAAATTTTATTTTATTTATACTACATGCATATTGAACTTGTTATTTTAAATAGATAACGAACGAATAATTTTATTAAGTCGCCAGACATTTATTTGTGCGACTTATAAAGATCGATTTAATATCTGAAGCTTTTCTATTGAGCTTGTATCAGAAATTAAATCGAAGTAATACTTCTAATTTAAATGTCGCTCTTTGCAAACTTTATATAATTCTTATAACTAAAATTAAATACGAGAGAGATAGCGATTGTAAATGAACTAGCGATTACTGGTTTTACAGTAAAATTTACTGATTTTACAGTGAATTTTATTTTAACTGACCATAATCAGTGAGATATAAGATAAAATAACAAAAAATAAGCGTTTCCACTGAAGATCAGTAAAATATCTTGATTCTCAGTGAAATACTCTTATTTTACTGTTTAAATTAGTGATATTTTCACTGATTCACTTTTAGAAAACATGAGTTATTACGGGAAAAAAAGATTCACGACGTAATATAATGCATTCGTACACACACGCTTCCTTTTTCTTCTCTTGTAAATTAACTACTTTGACCGAGGGTACATCTACTATGGTAACTGAACGAAGTCGGGCCGTTATAACTGAAACTATGACGCTCGGAATTTCCATTTGTACGAGCTGCAACTACGTTGATTCATAAGTAATTCTTCGCCGAGGATGGAATAGAATTCCAAGGAATTTTCTGAATCACCGTGTGTTCCTAAAAAAGTGCTTCGTGTAATCCTCTTACGCATGAGTCACGCAGTGTATTCGGATCAGTGTATTCTCGCTGTCAGCATTGGTCACATACGATTCGCTACATAATAGAGATAACTGAAGGCGATTAAAAGCGGCGCGTAATTACACTAAAAAAAAATTATAGTTGAAATTATCATAATTTCAATTATAATTTATAATATCTTCAGGCGCCAAGCATATACAGGGTATCCCACCCCAAATAACTTTCTTATTTTTAATTTTAGAAAAAGATGTTTCAAACAAAAGTTGTATGGTTTCTAGAGGGACATAAGATGGTGCCATTAGTTTGACTTTGAAGAATCACATGAAGGTTACATGAAGATCATTTTGAATTTCTTAAATGGAACACCATATATATTTTTGCATATTCTTGTAGCTTATCTCGAGAGCTTTCCAAAACACTATAAATAAACATTTTTTCATCAAGTACTTTTCGAGTTATGAGGCTTGAAGTCATTTTCTTAATTTTACATAAATCATAAAATATCGTGTAAAATATTCATTTTTCGATTATCTTACCTTAATACTTTTATGTACAAAATAATGAAGAAATCAATTGGTCTAAAGAAAACATACAATTGTTTTTAAGAAAAAAATATGTAATTTGCAATTAACAATTTCATGTTTTTTCTTAAAACAACTGTATGTTTTTTTTACACCAATTGATTCCTCTCATTATTTTGTACATAAAAGTATCAAGGTAAGATAATCGAAAAATGAATATTTTACAAAATATTTTATGGTTTATGTAAAATTAGGAAATGATTTCAAGCCTCATAACTCGAAAAGTACTTGATGAAAAAATGTTTATTTATAGTGTTTTGGAAAGCTCTCGAGATAAGCTACAAGAATGTACAAAAATATATAGGGTGTTCCATTTAAGAAATTCAAAATGACCTTCACGTAACCTTCATGTGACTCTTCAAGGTCAAACTAATGGCACCATCTTATGTCTTCCTAGAAACCATACAACTTTTGTCCGAAACATCTTTTTCTAAAATTAAAAATAAGAAAATTATATTGAGGTGGAACATTAAAATGGGACACTGTATAGTTTATATTACCAGTATTATAGTAAAATTCACTATAAAAACGAGTATCCTAATATAATTTTTTACCATGCAATTATAGTCAATTTTATCATCGATTTTTTTATCAGTGTATAAGTAAAACAAATTGATGAGAGCACGCGAAAACCCGTAAATTGCATAAATTTGAATTTTAATTTTCCAAATGTCAACGTGACAGATTATCGTGAAATGGTGTGTGTCAGTAAAATACACTTTTCCTATTGTATAATTTATATATTAGGACCATTTGATATTAGGACGTTTTAACTTATTATTTCACTCGACACCCGCTGTTGCTCTTTTAAGAGACGAGTCTTTAATTTACGAATGTTTCCCTCCCCCGATTCGGATTTCTCGTGAGTCATTGCCTCCTACATTTTCGAGCAGCTGCGCCTCAACTTCCTACTCGCTGCATTTAAATTTTATGATCCTAGTCGGGCCTGGTTGCGACGTAAAGACTGCGATGGGAGAGTTGAATTTGAAAGAATTAATTTACGGCTTAATAAAAGGACGGCGAGCATGTGGGCTATGACGGCGAGATAAATTTATTAGAGAAAACGTTATGGTCGCAGGGACAACAAGGAATCGTACTATTATGGCGATGCCTTGCTCGGGTTATACCGCAAAAGCGGGAACAGTTTTCTTAAATCTTTCCGGTGTACACGTGGGGAAATTTACATTTTTACTTCCGTCGTTTGCGCCCTTGGGTCGTATTATACGTCACATTTTCTGTCGAAAGCAACGTAGCAAAAGTCGTCTACGTAATATGATATACATAATGTCACGATATACATCTAATATGAAGACGTTACTATAAATAATGTCATAACTTTCTCGAGTTATGAAACTTTAACCGACTCTGCCGAGTTTATTTGCATCTAAATAAATTAACTCGCGATTTTTCTTTCTCAAAATTAAGAGCAAAATTTATGCATAGAATGTTTCATAAAAAGATATGAAATTTTTAACTTCAAGTTTGTACACTGATAAAAAATTATAGCTGAAATTATCATTAATTTCACTATAATTTATAGTATCTTAAGATTGCCAAGCATATATATAAATAATAATATAGTAATATTTACCATTATTAATGCTACAATGACTATATGAATAGTAAAATTATATGTGTCATTCTTTTCTTTTATTTTTTACTTATATGATATTTGAAATTATTATAAATTATAGTAAAAAGTTCATTGTTTCTCGGTGCCATGCGTATGTAGTTTATATTACCAGCATTATAGTAAAATTTACTATATGAGTATCCTAACTATAATTTTTTCATCATGCAATGATAGTCAATTTTATTATCGATTTTTTTATCAGTGCAGGTTTCACGTACTATTTAGATATAGCTGTTATTATAATTTTTTTCATTATTACTACTATATTAATATCTAGAGAAAGATAATAATATAGTAATATTTACCATTATTAATATTACAATGACTATATGAATAGTATAATTATATGTATCATTCCTTTCTTTCATTTTTTACTTATATGATATTTGAAATTATTATAAATTATAGTAAAAAGTTTCATTGTTTCTCGGTGCCATGCGTATATAGTTTATATTACCAGCATTATAGTAAAATTTACTATAAAATAAGTATTCTAACTATAATTTTTCCATCATGCAATTATAGTCAATTTTATTATCGATTTTTTTATCAGTGCAGGTTTCACGTACTATTTAGATATAGCTGTTAATTTTTTCATTTATTACTACTATATTAATATCTAAACGAAAGATAATAATATAGTAATATTTACCATTATTAATGTTACAATGACTATATGAATAGTAAATTATATGTGTCATTCTTTTCTTTCATTTTTTTACTTATATGACTTTTGAAATTATTATAAATTATAGTAAAAAGTTTCATTGTTTCTCGGTGCCATGCGTATATAGTTTATATTACCAGCATTATAGTAAAATTTACTATAAAAATAAGTATTCTAACTATAATTTTCCATCATGCAATTATAGTCAATTTTATTATCGATTTTTTTATCAGTGCAGGTTTCACGTACTATTTAGATATAGCTGTTAATTTTTTTCATTTATTACTACTATATTAATATCTAAACGAAAGATAATAATATAGTAATATTTACCATTATTAATGTTACAATGACTATATGAATAGTAAAATTATATGTGTCATTCCTTTCTTTCATTTTTTACTTATATGATATTTGAAATTATTATAAATTATAGTAAAAAGTTTCATTGTTTCTCGGTGCCATGCGTATGTAGTTAATATTACCAGCATTATAGTAAAATTTACTATAAAAATGAGTATGTTAACTATAATTTTTTCATCATGCAATGATAGTCAATTTTATCGATTTTTTTATCAGTGCAGGTTTCACGTACTATTTAGCTATATAGCTGTTATTATAATTTTTTCATTTATTTCTACTATATTAATATCTAAACGAAAGATAATAATATAGTAATATTTACCATTATTAATGTTACAATGACTATATGAATAGTAAAATTATATGTGTCATTCTTTTCTTTCATTTTTTACTTATATGATATTTGAAATTATTATAAATTATAGTAAAAAGTT